ATAAAATTTAAAAATCCTCACCCAAGGATACATTTATTGATTTTAGAAAGGAAGGGGGAGAGAGACACACACAGAGACAGAGACATCAATGTGAGAAACATCAATTGGTTGCCTCCCGAACTCGCCCCCACGGGGATCTATCCTGCAGCCTGGGTATGTGCCCTGACTGGGAATTGAACCTGTGACCTTTCAGTTTGTGGGATGACTCTTCAACCAACTGAGCCACACCAGCCAGGGCGAAACTATCTTATTGAGTATTCTTGCCTTTCTTATCAAATATTAGTTGACTGCATATGCATGAGTTTATTTTGGGCCTCTCAATTCTGTTCCATTGGTCTATGTGTCTTGTCATATACGAATGGCCTTTATTATATTATGTTCTTTCTATACTGAATCTGTTGAGTATTTATCATGAAGAGATGTTCAATTTTGTCAAATGCTTTTCCTATATCTACAGTGAACATGATATTTTCTTTTATTCTATTAATGTGATTACCACATTGACTGACTTGCATATGCTGAAATATCCTTGCATCCCAGGGATAAATCCCACTTCTTCATGGGGAATGATGCTTTTAATGTGCAGCTGAATATGGTATCAGTTATGATGTCTTTTTCATTTATTATGTTGTTGATTTGGGTGTCCTCTCCCTTTTTTCCTTGGTTAGTGTAGTTAAAAGTTTGTCAATTTTGTTAATCTTTTCCAAAAACCAGTCCTAGACCCTGGAAAAGGCAAGGATATGGATTTTCCCCAGATCTTCTGGATGGAGTCCCCTGCCAAAACCTTGATTTTGGTCCAGAAAAATTGATTTTGGACTTCTGATCTGCAAAAGTGTAGAATAAATGCATGCTGTTTTAAGCCACCAAGTCTGTGATGATTTATTATAGCAGCCACTGAACACTAATACAGACTAAAGAGTCTTGTACTTATTAGGAGGACGTGTTCTGTCTGAAATTGCATCTAGTTTTATTCAATTTCCATTTCTGATATTCTAGTAATCTTGATCCTACGCACCTAGCAACTGAAAAAGAGGGATGTGGCCTTTGAGCTTAAAGGTAAGCCTTTTCATTAAAAAATCCTTTACTGGCCTCCTCTGTTCCTCACTTGCCATCTCTTCTTCATTTACTTGTCACTGTACCCGTTGCCATACCTTTAATTATGACCGTACCGCCAGTGTTCCTGGCCTGCAGGCTAGGTTCCAGACGCACATGTCCAGTCGTCTGCTGTGAATTTTCAGCTGGGTAGCTCACTGGCATCTTGCAGTCAATAAAACTAGAAATGAATTCATCTTCCCATGCATAGACTTATAAACAGAAAACCAAATCACACCAGAAAATGAATGCTTCATCCATTAAGGTATGGTAAGAATTTTGTTGTGTTTTGTTTTACACAATAATGGAAAACTAGAAAAGTACCTTATTATTTTTTGGGGTTTTACAAATGTCAATTTTGAGTAATATTTCTTTTCCAACATTTCTTCACTTTGCCTTGTTCCACATGGTCCATCCTAGTCATGGCACAAATGACTGCAGGAATGGAAAATATGACTTTTAAACTATTCTGTATATGAATTCTAACAAACAATCTTCTCAACAAGTATCAAAAACTTTATAGTTATTTGTCTATTTATCCATTATATGCCATACCAAACGCTCATTAATCCTGCACATTAGAAAGTGCTGCTTTGACACAACATTGAGGTTTTTTAAATACTTACATCAATTTTCTTGACATATATCCATACACTAAAATGTACCAATTAAAATTTTTAAAATTTCAATTCAGTTGACATGTGAGTGAAATACTATGGCCTTTGTCTTGCCTGACTTATTTCACTTGGTATAAAGCCCTCTAGGTCTATCCATGTTGTCACAATTGGCAAGATTTCGTTCTTTTTAATACTCGAGTAACATTCCATTGTACACACGTACCGCTTCTCTATCCGTTTGTCTGTCGAACACCTCGCTTGCCTCCATAGCTTGGCCATTATAAATAACACAGCCCTGAACACAGGGCTGCATATATATTTTCAAATCAGTGTTTTGGATTTCTTCAGGTAAATACCAACCAGCGGAACTGCTGAGTCATGTGGTAGCTTTTAAATTTTCGAGGAAGCTCTGTGCTGCTTCCACAGCGGCCCCGCCGCCGCCCAGTCCCACCAGCAGTGCCCAGGGTTGTCTTTTCCCCACACCCTCCGGCACTTGCTGTGTGTCGCTATATGGTGGCCATTCCGGCAGGTGGGAGGTGGTGTCTCACTGCGGTTTTAACTCGCATTTCCCTGCTGATCAGCCACGGTGAACATCCTCATGTCTACTTCCACCTGCAGGTACTCTCTGGTGAAATGTTCAGGTCTTCAGCCCGTTTTTATTTGGATTTGGTTTTGGGTTTTTTTTTTGGGGGGGGGGTTACGTTGTATGAATTCTTTATATATTTTAGAAATTTACCCCCTATCGAATGTATCGTTGGCGAACTATCTTCTACCATTCAGTAGGTTTTCTTTTCATTTTCTTGATGGTTTCCTTGCTGTGTAAAACCTGCTTAGTTTTACTTAGTTCCATTTGTTTACCTTTTCTTTTGTTTCCTTTGCCCGAGAAAACATACCCCAAAATACTAAGAGTGACGTCAAAGAGTTTACTGCCTACGCATTCTTCTAGGTTTACGGTTTCAGGTCCTACATTTAAATCTTTCATCCATTTGAGTTTATTTTTTATAATGTGTGAGAAAGTGGTATAGTTACATTTAAAGATGTTAATTCTTCCAACCCATGAACGCGGTATAGCTTCCCATTTATTTGTATCTTCTATGTTTTGTAGTTTTCTGAGAACAGGTCTTTTACCTCTGGCTAAATTTATTCTTAGGTATTTTATTTGATGGAATTGTAAATGGGATTTTCTTAATTTCTCTTTCTGATAGTTTGTTATTGGAGCATAAAAATGCAACCAATTTCTGAATATTACTTTTGTGCTACTTTATTAAATTCATTTATTAGTTCTAATAGTTTTTCTTTAGGGTTCTCTTTATATTGTATCATGTCATTGGCAAATGAAAGTTTCACTTCCTTTCCAGTTCGAATACTGTCTTTTTCTTCTCTGATTGCTGTGGCTAAGACTTCCAATACTATGTTGGATAAAAGTGAGGAAAGCAGACATCCTTGTCTTGTTTCTGTTTATGAAGAAAAAGCACTCAGCTTTTCACAGGTGAGTGTGATGTTAGCTGTGGGTTTGATATATACAGCCTTTATAATGTTGATATATTACAGACTTTATGATGTTGATATATTACAGCCTTTATGATGTTGACATATATTTCTACTTTGATGAGAGTTTTTAATCAAGAATAGATGTTGGACTTTGCCAAATGCATTTTCTGCATCTACTGATACCATGATTTTTATTTTTTTAATGTGGTGTATTGCGTTGATTTGCAGATGTACCAACCTTGCATCCCAGGAAAAAAAATCCCACTTGATCATGGTTTATCATCTTTTTAAGGTTTTGCTAGATCTGGTTTGCTAATATTTTGTTGAGGATTTTTGTATCTATGTTCATCAGGGATACTGTGCTACAATTTTCTTTTTTGTAGTGTCTTTGTTTGGTTTTGATATGAGGGTAATGCTGGGCTTATAAAATGAGTTTCAGAGCCTTCCCTCCTCAAGTTTTTGACATTTTTTTGAGGATAGGTACTAATTCCTCATTGACTGTTTGGCAAAATTCACCTGTGAAGCCATCTACCTGGTCCAGGGCTCTTATTTGTTGGAAGTTTCTGATTATTGTTTCAATTTCATTAGTAATTATGTTCATACTTTCTGTTTCTTCCTGATTCAGCCTTGGAAGATTGTATGTTTCTAGGAATTGATCCATTTCTTCCAGGTTGCCCAGTTTGTTTGCATTTAATTTTTCATAGTATTTCCTGATAATCCTTTGTACTTCTGTGATATGGGTTGTTTGTTCTCTTTTGAGTTCCATGTGCACTTGAGAAAATTAAGTCCATCTGGTCTAATGTGTCATTTCAGGCCACTGTTTCCTTGATGATTTTGTCTGATCTATCCATTGACATCAGTAGGGTGTTCAAGTCCCCTACTATGACCATATTACTGTCAATCTCTGCCTTTATATATTTGCTTTATATGCTTAGGTGCTCCGATGTTGGGTACACAGATGTTTACAAGAGTTACATCCTCTTGTTGGACTGACCCCTTTACTATTATGAAATGCCCTTCTTTGTCCCTTGTTATAGCTGTTGCCTTAAGTCCATTTTGTCTGATATGTTTTGCCACCCCAGCTTTATTTTTGTTTCCATTGGCATGAATCCCTTCACTTTCAGTCTGTGTGCCTTTCAATCTGAAATGACCTTCTTGTAGGCAGCATATGTGCAGGTCTTTTATTTATTCGTTTAGCCACTCTCTGTCTTTCTATTGGAGCATTTAGTCCATTTACATTCAAAGTAATTATTGATGCAGATGTAGCTATTGCCATTTTATTAACTGCTTTCTGATAGGTTTTGCAGTTTTTCTCTTACCCTCTCCTATTGCACGTTGATGGCTCTTAATTTCATATCTGAATTCTTTTCTCTTTATTTCTTGTATGTCTCTGGTAGATTGATTTAGGCTCAGAGAAGTTTAGAGAATATAAAGTTCTCATTCAAGAAGAGAACTCCAACAATAAGATTTGGATTTAGGTTCATCAGATTGCAATGCCATCAAGAATTTCTCTAACCATGACAAAACACAAGAATTCCCAGGACAGCATTTTAACAATGATGGCTGGTAGTTTATAAACACTACTGACTTGAGAACGGCTAATCCAAGCAAGGGCGAAACTTCAGTGTGGCAGCTGACCTCAAGCAATCCTTCTCAACAGATTTTAAGTACTTACATCTCCTAGAGGTATAACCACCTCAAATGTGATTATAATCACCTCTCTTCTCTCTATAGGAAACTGTTAACATGTTCAATTTGAGATATCAAAAAACATTTAAAATAAGCACCACGAAATGCACCTGTAGTTTAAAGATTGAGTTTATTAGGCGAGTAAGAGGTGTGCTATGCGTGGACTGTAAAAACCGCGCAGCTGACTCTGCTCATGGTCAGGTGCAGAGAAGCAGGCGGTGCCAGTCTATTTTGTGGACACTCTTGTTCTTTTGTTCCAAGAAAAGTTTGCGCCATAAGACTTGGACTTGGGTTTCGGAACCTTCCTCTCTTCAACGTCATAGCTCCACCCTACAAAACAAACACAGACTCACAGGACCAGAACTGCACAGTACACCCTAAGAACACAGTGAGCAGAGCTCATGTGCATAAATTTAATGTTCATTTATCATCAGGAGTACATGTTGACACATCTGAAATATAAATACTTTCTTAGTAATTTGTTCCCTTGTAATCCTGTGACAAGAGGATTCATTGTCTGAGGATGATTTGCCATCTCTTAAATTAAATGTGTAACTCACAGCTCGATTTCTCCCTGCTCAATATTCTTTGCTCAACTACTGATGGTTATGTATTATATAAAAATTTCCACTCCTCTGTGTGGTTTAACATGTGACTTTAATAACTGCACTGAGAAGCACTGACCAATATAAACTGTCCCACTGTTTTCCAAAAGCAGGAGCCTTTACACCAGTTTGGAGCTCACTCAAAAGAGACACAGAAAAACATGTACATACCTATCGGTATAAGTCACAAGGTTGGAGGAGATTCCTGGTGCAGCTCCCTGGACTTTGATAGGCTACTGATTAAACTCAAAATGTTTTTCCACATTTGTTGTGAGGGCTATCAACACTGGAATCCCATGGAAGCACTTGACAATGCCCATTCTTAGGCCTGACCTAAGCCCATTGGATCAGAAACTGGTGGGAGCCCGGGACTCTGCACTGTAACTACTGACCCCAGGAGACTTCTATGCTCAGAAGTTTGAGAACCATTGGTCTAAACTTCTTTCCTCTTCTGAGAGGCCCTGTGCAGTGTTTTATAATTTTGAGAACTAGGTTATTTATGTCTATGTCTTCTGCTTTAAGTCCAGTTTTTCTGTTTTCTTGAGATATGGAGAACCACCAACCCTCCGCCTTGAACTTTGATTCAGTGACTCCTCTATCCCTAGTCCACGCAACCTCTGTAATTTCCAAGTTTGCGCGTAAGACGTGGACTTGGGTTATGAGCACTTTGTAAGACCCATTCTCCATCCCTGCAGTTCATCCTTCTTTGTAGAACTTTCTTCAAACACTCATCCTGAGACAGCTGACTCACGGCTGAATGATGCAGTCATGTGCAAAGTGTCCGAAATGAACACTAGGTAGCCTGATTAAAAAGCTCCTTCATCTCGTGAACTGTCATGAGGTCTAGCGCTTCACGGAGACTCTAGCATTTGCTGCCATGAAGCCTGCGTTTCAACAGCCCCTCAGAATTCAATTTTGCCACAAACGTGAAGTCTGTGAAACTCAGATCATCAAAGCACACTGCCCATCTCGGTGTCCAAATGGGAAAGAATCGATAATGCCACTGCTAGCACTCCTCTCCACTTGCTGCAGGAAATGGGTAAGCAGGAACGCAAATGAAACAAATTACTAAAAAATACAAATTAAACATCAGAATCTAGGAGAGAAAATAGTGACTTAACTCACTTGGTTCACATAACCTTATCTTCAGAGTAGAGAAGATGCTCTCAGTACCCGCTGACCCATGAAAACAAACAAAATCACAAAGCTGTATCTTGCGTTAGGAGGATGGGAATAAAGTAAGTACACTGACAAGTGGTTATTAGCGCTTCAAAAAATTTACTAAAGGGCCTAAGAAAAGTACCTGCTCCTCGGGCCGTCAGGAGGGTAAACGGCTAATTCCTGTGAAGTGCTTGGGGAGCCCCCGCACTTAGTCCACTCAGGTCTGTGGGAAAGGTGCTGGCCCACAGCTTCAGGGGCTGCACTGCTCCCTTCCCACGCCCGGGAAGCAGGGCAGCAGGGTGCCGGGAGGCGGCACTGGGCCCGGCGCGGGCGCGGGCTCCCCACACGCCCTGAGCCCGGTAAGCCGGCGGGGGTGCTGAGCTACGGTTTCTCCCTCAGGTCTGACTTGTGACGTCCTCACAACACACCTCCACGTGAAGCGTTAGTGTCGATAGCACTGGATCACACTGGAAGCCATTCGTCTGAATCTGCGACGCTTTGGGTCTAGGTGGGTGCGGCTGGGCGCAGGTGTTAACTATGGGGGCGTCGGTAAGCACGTCAGCACAGGGAACGGGCCTGACACCCTGGCTCGGGCATGAACTTCTCGGGCGCTCCGTCAACAGCGCTGCCAGCCGCGGAAGCGCCCCTCCGGGGGCCGGGGAACTGCAACGGCGCGTAAGCGCATTCACCGAGCGCAACAGCCGTGCTCACCGCCGCCCCGCCAGGGCGCCGGAGGGAAACGCGGGCAAAGCAGAGCATCCCCCCGGGCGGCCGGGAGGGAAACCGGCGAGGGTGGGCTACAGCCGCCGGGAGCCACGCCACGGCTGAGCACCGGCG